AAAAGTCTCAAGGGTTTGAATTTTTAGCGGCTACCAAGATAGATGACTCCATGCAAGCCTGCACTCCAGTGCATTCTATGGTCGCATCGGGTTCGCAATGTAAGCAATCGAGTACCGCATCCTGAACGTCCAACACTGACATGCCCCTTTAAGGAGAAGATAGATAGGTTTTTCGGACGTCCCTATGCTAATAAGAAAGTTCCGTGCAGACTGTCATCGCTCTACAGTAGGCGGTGGTATTGTCTACGTAGAAACTGTGGGAAGGAAAAGTGGCGTACGACAGGTTGCTACGCAGGTGTTATGTATACCGTCGTTCAAATGGCCAACTCTCCTTTCATCATTATAAGAGACATTTTCTTACCTGACGCAAACAACATGGTCAGCTCCGAGCGTCTTTGCAAGGGCTAAACGACCTTGGTCCAAGTCCGTGATCACAACCTGTGCTGCTCCCATTGCTTTTGCTGTCATCATACATAACGTTCCTATTGGTCCTGGAACACGTCAAATGATGTGACTGAAGAGTTTATTACCCATAGATCCGGACCTGCTCCTTGCACCAAGATGTTTTGTCCCATTTCGATGTTCGCTCGTCGACAGGCATGAACACCAACTGACAAGGGTTCTAAAAGGGCAGCTTCTTCGAACGTGACACATTCTGGTAATCTGCAAACCACATTTGTATCTTATTTGACCGAGGCAAAAAAGGCTTTTTTACGAATAATTATTTCGTAGAGATTTATGGCGATTGATTATCATAGACAACAGTTTGCTAGAGTTTGAACGATTGTCGAAGGAAGCGAAATGAGGTTGTAACTTCAATGACTGTTGATTTTACATATATTGTTACCAGTCTTTCTTAGCATTCAAGCTTTGAATCCGCCCATGCTCCACGTTTACTTTTTCATTCTCCCCTTCTTCCCTTTATCCCATTTTGACTGATATTTATGCCCCATGAGAACTTCATCAGCTTACTGTTATGGTCAGCTGGAAAACCGGCTAAGCGGGTATAAAACCTAGGATAGCAAACGTGAATCTTTGGCTATAAGGCAAACATAAATTTCCTCACTTGAAGCAGAAATCAGCATCGTGAGTCACATATCTCGACAA